AGATCCACTTTCCACCCTGCGCTGTGGCCTAGAGGCTGATCTCAATGGATCGCATTAACTAGGCCCCCTTGTTCTCTGGCTTCTCATTGGGTTTGGCCAATGGGAGGTGCTGGTGGGAGACCAGAGGGTGGGAGGAGAGAGCCGCTGGGGTAATGACCCTCCTTGTTCTCTCTCTGCTGGGCGGTGGGATGATAAGGGCTGCTTTCCTCTCCTGAAGGTTACAGGCTGTTGGTGACTCTCTCCTGCAACTACAGGTCTCCCGATCCTGGTGACTGCCCCCAGCCCTTGTCACTGCAGGCCTAGGAACTGTCACAGCACCTGTCTGAGGATACTTCATCACACCTTGTTGGCTTCTTTTCCTGCCCACGTCTGGCCTTCCTTCAGCTCTCCTCACTCACCCCCGTTGAAAGTGCCACCATCTCTCCTGCCTAGATTCTGGCTGACACGGTTCCTTTCATGGTGCTTGTTTGAATGTGCAGCTGCAGGAAGCAGTGACGCCAAGGTTATTGGTCCGACCGCAGCATGGGCTGGGTGGCTTTCTTCAGTGATGGACCCTACCCTGGTCCTGGTGCACTTAGCTTCCTCCTTCGAGTCCAGAGAGGTTAGGCATCTCTGGGGCTGTCACATGGCCGTTCCCCTTCCCTGAGCATCTTTCTCTCCACAGGCACTGGATTAGAGGATGTACTCAAGTTTTTTCCTGCATCCCATCCTGCCGGGGAGGAATGATCTCCTGCTTCCTTCAGATGAGAGAACGGAGGTCCAAAGAGTTTGTGTGGTTTCCCTGAGGTCCCAACAGCAATTTTGGGGAAGGGAACAAGATTTGGGTTCACACTGTAGTCAAAGTTGGTGTGCTTTGCGGTGGGGTACGCTGCCTCTGGCTAGAGGAATGCAAACATTTTAGTACCACTGGAAAAATGTACTGTTAGTGAGTCGAGTCTACAAATACCATTGGTAAAGCCAACAGTGCAAGGCGGTAGCAGCTTCACAGAGGGTGAACCAGGCAGAGATGCCTGGAACCAACAGGAGTCTTCACTAGCTAAGGCACTCCCCTGGGCTGGACCGTGTTCGTGATGTCTGCAGACCGTTCTGGTAGTATTCCACGTAACCTGGCCTTGTTTGGACGTGTCATCCTCAGGAAGTCCTACAGGCTCCATTTCCTGAAATAGTCTCTGAGGTGACCACATGGAAGCTGCCTGTGCCCCGGCTGGCGCCCTAACCTCAGGTGCCCACACGGCCTGCTTCCTTTCACTAGTGGGACCCCAGAAGCACCTCTCTTTCTCATCTCTGTGCCAGGGGGTGGTGACCGAGCGACTCAGGACCCTTGGGCCTCAAAACGGATGGAGTCAAAATACAATTTATTTCTCAGGAAATTCTTTCTTCCTTTCTTTTCCCCTCCCTCTCTTCCTCCTTTCCATCTCCTGATGCCTGATCTCTTCAATGCTGGTGTGGCACTGTGTCCAATCTAGCACACTGCTTGCTTGTGCTGTTCGGGTCTTTCATGCTCATCAATAGCTTATTCTTTTGTCCAGCAGCTTTTGGATTTTCAAAAGGTAGCTAAACAATTGCTCAGACTCACGCGCAGCATTTTGACCAGCTGTGCTTTAGGTCTGGACATAGGCTAATGATCTGAAAGCCAAAGTGACTCCCCTTAAGAATGACATTTGATTGATTGGTTGATTGATTGGTTCCACACCCCGCGTGGAGCCCAATGTGGGGCTTGAACTCATGATTCTGAGATCAAGACTTGAGTTGAGATCAAGAGTTAGATGCTTAACTAATGGAGCCACCCAGGCACCCAACACGCCACATCTTGAGTGGAAGCAGCTACTTTTCCAGTAGCTACATGTGGCCTGTGGCTTCCATATTGGGCAGTGCAATTCTAAATAAAGGATTGTTTTCCCAAGAACTGAACAATTAACTATTATCCTGAGCGTGAATCACCTGTCCCCCTAAGGTTAACTAACTTTTTCACAGCATTAGAATTGTAATCCAGGGGCACCTGGGTGGCTCTGTCAGTTAAGCGTCTGCCTTCAGCTCAGGTTGTGATGCCAAGGTCCTGGGATTGAGCCCCACATTGGGCTCTGCTCAGCAGGGAGTCTGCTTGTGCTCTCTCTCTCTCTCAAATAAATAAATAAAATCTTAAAAAAAAAAAAAAAGAATTGCAATCCAAATGCTCCCGGAGAATTAATTCACCAGGTACTAAAAAGCACACACTAGGTGCTTATAACCTGTTTATTAACTTTGAGTAAAGCAGTTTCTTTTATTTTTTATAGATTTTTTTTTTATTTGTATGAGAGAGAAAGAGAGCACATAAGAGGGGGTAGGGTCAGAGGGAGAAGCAGACTCCCTGCTGAGCAGGGAGCCTGATGCGGGACACGATCCCGGGACTCCAGGATCATGACCTGAGCCGAAGGCAGTCGCCCAACCAACTGAGCCACCCAGGCACCCCAAACAGTTTCTTATTACCCTAGAGTTACTTGATATATAATTTGGGGAACATTTCCTCCAAGACCCTGATTTTTTTTTTTTTTTTTTTTTGCCTTGTTGCTATTAAACTTACATTACTTCAGCAAACTTGGGTGTGGAGCTTGCCAGACTATTCCTATTTCTGTGTCCAGTCAGTTTCTGTGGCTTCCTACTTTTGTCCCTGACCACAGCGGGACCTCACCCAGGGTGGCAAAAACTTTTGAATCCCGCCCCCCATGCACCACCATGGTCTGACTTAGTAGCACCCTTCTCGGAGAAGTGAGCTTAGTGGACACTCCCAGCCTCATCCCACGCACGGGCCTTCTACAGTCCTCTTATCGGAGAAAGCCTTTCTTCCCGAGTGCTTTCTCACCGACTCTGCTGCGGAGGCAGAGTGGTGTGCGCGTCTCTTACCCGGGATTGCTGGTGCTTCTGGTAGAAGTCGGTCACGTTAAAATCATCCAGATCGACCAGAAGGCCTTGCTTACACATCTCACAGGTCTTCACAGCGCCTAGATCTGCTCCTTAAATTAAAGAATTCTTTGTTACAAATAACCCTGGGTCTTTATGTGTTGACACTCTGGGTCTCTTTGTGTTGACATTTCGGGAGTGAACTTGTGTGTATTATGAATTCTGAGTTTCAGTGACCCTTTTTTTTTTTTAAAGTCAGCCATCTTCTGTAGAAAAGGGCCTTGAATTTGAGATCTGGAAAATTTCCTTCATAATCATTTTCATTATTATGCAAGCTTCATATAAGTGAAATTCCCGTGACTTTTAAATAACAGGTCTTGCTTTCTGTTTAAATATAAATGTACTGGTTCATAAAATTGGAATTGCTACATGGAGGCTGAGAGTCTGTAACACAGGTGTTTGCCAAAAAGAGTGAATATTGACCTGTGTTCTTGTTGTTGTTGTATTTTTTCTGACAGACCTAACAAGGGTCCAAGCAAATAAGCAGATGAGGACCAAACTGATGGCAGAAGCTATTCTCAGTCTGTGGTTCCAAAATCTGCCTTTACGCTCACCCAGGTGACGTCCCACCTGAGAAAGTGAGGGAGCCGGGGGCCATGTATGGGAACTATAGCACAAGCAGTACCTGAGACCAAGCTCAGCTTCATCTGGGAAAAGAAACTTGAGAAGCCTTCCTTTGTGGCAGTGGCTTTCTTTTCTTTCTTTTCTTTCCTTCTTTCCTTCTTTCTTCCTTCCTTCCTTCTTTCCTTCCTTCTTTCCTTCCTTCCTTCCTTCCTTCCTTCTTCCTTCCTTCCTTCTTTCCTTCTTCCTTCCTTCCTTCCTTCCTTCTTCCTTCCTTCCTTCCTTCCTGCCTTCTTTCTTCCTTCCTTCCTTCCTTCCTTCCTTCTTTCCTTCCTTCCTTCCTTCCTTTCTTCCTTCTTTCTTCCTTCCTTCCTTCCTTCTTTCCTTCCTTCCTTCTTCCTTCCTTCCTTCTTCCTTCCTTCCTTCCTTCCTTCTTCCTTTCTTCCTTCTTTCTTCCTTCCTTCCTTCCTTCTTTCCTTCTTCCTTCCTTCCTTCTTTCTTCCTTCCTTCCTTCCTTCTTTCCTTCTTCCTTC